TATCTCTATTTTCAATCGAAATTGCATTCAATCCATGATACATATCAATTCATATGCAAACACACGAGACTGAGTCGAGAATGATGTATTAAGAGTGAATAGAATATGGTAATTCTTCTAGCAAATCATGTAAAATATTTACTAGCAATTTCTGATTATCGAAATTGTTAAAATTATACACAAAACTTCCTATTTCCTATACATTTTAATTAATACCTCAGGCTGTATATTTATAAATTAATCCGAAATGGTTTTTTGTCAGTCTGTATGAAGTATGAAGGGTTGAAATGAAGTATTTCCACCACTGAAACTGAGAGAAAATCATCATGTCATAGACACTAGAAAACACCCTCGGGGAGTAATTTAATGCCCTCTTCTTATTGGCGAAAACAAGAAATGGGTAACAACATTGAAAGTTGATTGAATTTTGCAGCTGAAACACAATTTATGTGTCAATTGATGCCTTGGGGTGGATTTAACAGAAGAGCCGCGATGGTCAGGAAGACAAGGCTTGAGGGCGAAATTGTCCGTTCCACAGAACTCTTCATGGCGATTTCGTTGGCCAGAACTTGATACTTTCCCTCATCTTCTTCGCCTGAGGGAAATTCGAGCGTCTCATAATACACCAACGATTCGTCTACGGGGAATTCATCTGCATCGTCGCAGAGGCTGTCGTAAATGGAGCTCAGACGGGCGCCGATAGTGTAGCAAAGAGAGCAAGACGGCCCTTCAGTGTACGTGTCCTCGTCAATTACGAGGCCGGCTGAATAGTCGCACGTGACAAGATAGTTGTATCTGATTTCTGCATCTTTGAGCGTTCTGTAGCGCGCCATTGAGCATCCCATGCGGTGATTCCCCTCCAGCACCATCGTGAGGAAGTGTCCAGTTGTCTCATCCGCCTGCAGGGCTGCATTCACTGTCGCCTCCAAGTGTTCAGCAAACCACAAATCCACAGCAGCAGCGAGATGAACGTCAACATCCGTATCGTCCACTGACGACTCGAACAGGGCGATGTTTTGACCCACAATTCGCCACAAATCAGTGGCACGGCATCCATCGTGAGCGAAATTGCAGTGCGCGACGTGCTTCTCGGCCAGAAACTGCAGAGTATCATTCCAATGTATCTGCATCATCTTCGCGGCTGGCGGTTTGTCCTCCAGTAAACCACCGGCCACAAGGTTTCGATAGTAGTTGTGCCTGAGAAGGAGCAATTTCTTCATTCTGGCTGTCATTTCAATCACTTCCAGACCCTCACAGCGTCCAGAGGGAAAAGACTCGCCATTGCAAGCGAGATGAGAAGTTCCTGATGGGCAATAACGAGTCTCCACATCGCACCAATTCACTTCATGAGGATTTTGACTGAAAGATCCACCCAAGAAGCTCAAGAATATGAGTAGAAGACAGACAATCATTGTGCACGAATAAAATAGATCGGAGAGTGAAGATTACTGAGATTCATTCATCTTCTCCTTAGCATCGAAATTACAAATTGCGCTCCCATTTTAATCTGCACACTCTCAAGTATTTAATTAAAAAGCATTGGGAGCTTTTGTGGTGACAGAAATTCTGCGAATTTTTCGACAATTAGCTACAAAGGATGCAAAAGAGAACACAAAAGCTCTCCAAACATTTTCCCACTCACCCAGCAATTGCTGCCCAGTTGCCATGTCATCCCACAGCACAGTGCTAATCCGTGAATTTGTTTGTGTGTTGAATAGTTTTCCCGGCCAAAATTCACGACATCTGCACACACAAAATGTGTATTGTATATATAAACACACCTTCGAAATGTGAGAATGTTTGCATAATTAATTTCAGCGATGTTTTTGCGGATATGATTTTATTCATGTCCCCAACAGATACAGCTTTTGCATCCATTTGGCCCTGTTTCATCTGCAAAATATGGTCTGTTTCCATTGCTGAGGGGTGGCGAAATGCAAATTCATTCCGAGGGTGTGCACTACTGCACACACATGGAGTATCCCATGAGTGTGTGATGGGAATGTGGAGAGCATTTAGAGCCTCTTTCCGCGGATTTGTGGCCTGTGTGCGTCGGGATTTTTCCGCTGCTGGGCCAAAATTAAATTGCAAGCAATATAATCACATGCATGATTTTCTGTCCTCAATTGCTGTCCACAGATAATTCCTCAAATTGCTCCCAAAAGCTCAACTGAAAATGCCCAGTGCAGCAGCCACAAATTCCCACCATTCACTCCATACTTCACCATCGCCACAAATCCCACTCACGTTGCAGCTCATGGCGCCTGAAAAGCTACGCCGCAGGCCCCATTGGACCCCCAGAAGACTCTTTTTCTTCTGGTGTGCGCGAAGTGCATTAGAAAGTTTGGCCGCCATCCTCTCGGGAAAGTCCATCAAGTGGAAAACGTATTGGATTGTGAATGAGTGGAAACATGAGCTTTTTTTATCCCTGGGTGTCTTGAGAAACTTTCCCTTCTCTACGTCACCGCAATGAGTGCAATTTTTGAGCAAGTCTCTCTTCGTGCAACTTTCTTCATCAGCTCACATATTTTGGCAAAGCCGCAGAAAATCAATTTCAAACTTCTTGCCTCTCCTTTTTCTTCGATGCGTCTTTAAGGTTCCACAGAAACTCTCTTCCAACATTTATTATTCATTACTCTGGAGAGTTTTCTTTATCTTCTTGCACCATCGAATAATTCATCTCTATCCCATTAATTGATTTATTGTACTTTATTGAATTTTTTTATGCTAATTTTTTCATATAATTGCAAAAGGAGCTTCAAAATCTTCCCCGTAATTTTGCAGACTGAAAAAAAGAATTCTTTGCTAAGTTTTTTGTTAAAAAAAAAATACGTTGGGAAAACTTCGAAATAACATTATTATCAATCTGAATTCTGCCTCTAAGCTTTGCTCAAGCCAAGACTACAAGAATTTTTTTCCAAGAACGCCTTTAAATTTGGCATGAGAACGTCAATTTGGGGTGGAAATTGAAAATTTACCTGCACTTCATTTGGGAAGAGGAAAATATTGAAAATTATCAAGCATTGACAAGTGCAACCCTCGTGAATTTCGTGTGAATATTTCATTACCAGAAACTTGATTAGAATCCATTTCAGGGGGCGCGTGTTTTTGATGAGATTTCTCAATCGCCCTGAGGATTTTCCACCCCTCGTGACAAATCATTTCTATATTCTTCACGATTCCTTCACGACTGATACCCACACTTAAATTTGATTAGGACGAGCGAAAACACCTTTATTCCTCACCTGGCGACGAATCTTCCACTGCGACTCACCTGAGACAAATATAAATGTCTTCGGGATGCGATTTATTTCTTCCCAGGACTCCAATTTTTTCCAGCTTTCCCGCCTGCACACGCGACGGCTCACAATCCGCAGGAAAAGCGTGCTGGGCGGGTAAAATTGAAGATGAAGAAGGAGAAATCAATCGACCGAAAATGATTTTATTGAGTTTGGCACGAAAATCGAATTGGAAACTGAGGAAATAAATAAAAATATACATCTCTAGGGGCTTCTTTTTCCACACACACACACACAACTTTGACGATGGTGTTTCTTGTCGCACGCTTAAGACACCCTCTGGATATGTTTGGTGTAGTTGCGATAAGAATGTATGTAACTTCGGATCCTTTTCCAGACTTTAAAGACTATTAAGGACATTTCTGAATTATCCAACGGGATATTTTGTAGCATCGCAAAATTTGTCTTAAACTTTGAGAAACACAGAGAATTATAATGATGCATATGATGAAAATTATGAGGCCAAAAGTGAAATTGAGATCGAAAAAGAACCAATAAATCTCTGTCGCATTTTGCGCCTCTCTCAAACTGCCATCATTCTTCCAGTGAGTCTGAAGACTTTCCAGTGACAAATAAATCTTATCCTCAGGACTAATGGTGAAGCATTTCTCATCAGTGTCTGTAGCTTCAGGAAAATCAATGAGAACTTGCTGATTTTCCCTGCAGAGATTTTCATACTTCTTGCTGCTCACGGATGCACATTCTGCGCACGACGAGGCAGTCTTCAGGGTGTGATTGACACGTTGATTGCTGCTCGATGAGTAATTGCACGTCAGAAGATGCTGAGTGCGTCTGCCCATGATAAAAATCACATAAGAGCATCCGATCCTCTCAACATCTCCCAAGATCATAGCCTCAGCAAACTGATCTGTGACTCTGACATCGCTTGACATCACGAACCATGAATCAATTGAGCGTTTGATGAAGTTTTCTTTGCTGCCTCTTGGCGATTTTGACATGCTCTGAAGGAGGAAAACCTTCGCAACTCCTGGAATTGCACGACAATCATCAGAGTGTTGGTGACATTGTTCACCGTACTTTTCAGCGATGAACTGCAAAGTTGAACTCCAAGAAACTTCCATCAATCGTGAAGTTTTCCTTTTGGCCACGAGATTCCGTATAATGTTGTGCTTCTCCACAATAACGCTCTTTACAGCATCACTCAATTCAACACTCCGCAATTGCGAGCATTTTCCTCTCACATGTTTACCTTCATTGCAGGCAATGTGATGCCCTTCCGTACACAAATGCTTCCCGATCTCACACCAGTCCACTTCGTCAATAGATAGTTGCCTCGAATTTGCATAAGTCAGGTGAAGGAGAAGCAGAAGAGCTCCACAAATTCCCCAGAAGTCCATCTTGAAAGAGCAACAATATACATGGAATATTTAGCAGTGGGTATTAAATTATCCTGCAAATTGAACTTAATTGCTCTTTATAACCGTGGCTGAACATCTCAATTCACCGCAGATTATTTCTTGTGAATTTTCCATCACTGTACGCTCAATTATTCAATGAGAAAAACATATGAATGTGGATGGGAAAAAGCAATTTGCAACAGTTTTCCGCAAAACAATGGCCAATGGCATTTTGTACAATAGGAAAGGCGATTGTTGGCTCTGGACTAGACAGAGAGGAAAACAAGGATTTGCGAGTGAGTGCGCGGAAAATTGATGCGTGAATCAACAAGTGACGCAGGGATTTAATTGTTGGCTCGTATACACTTTATTTTACAAACAGAACACATGCAGATGGTTAGATGAGCGATGCTGCGCAAAGTCCCGGGTACTTCTTGCTGCACGCCTTGCCGAGCTCCTTGCACTGCGAGCAGGGATCGCCGGGTGTGTACATGGGCTGTCCCAGCCAGTTGTTGTCCGCGTAGTTGCACGTGAGCATGTGCGAGAACCAGTGCGTATCGTCGGCGTCGTACTCGTAGGTCAGGTATCCGCAGCCGATGTGCGTGTTGGCCTCCTTGGCCATCTGCGAGAAGTGTCCACTTGTGAGGGAGTCCGTGGCCTTCAGCTCGTCCACGATGGTCACTTTGGTCTTCTCATGCTCCTTCCACCACAGATCCACGAGCGAGTCCAGGATCGACGGATAGCTCACGTTGGCCGTGGGCTCGGCCGTGAAGGCGAGATTCTGTCCCGCCGTGGGGAATTCCTCCGTGGCGCGGCACTCGTCGTGCATGAAGCTGCAGTGCTTCACATGCTGCTGCGCCAAGTACGCCAACTGATCGTCCCACACCATCTCCTCCATCTTGGCGGCCTTCGGGAAGCGCGGAACGTGGCCGATGGCCAGCTGGCTGCGATACCTGTTGTGGCGCGCCAGAATGACAATCTTGAGATCCTCATCGATGGGCACGGACGCCTTGTTCTGGCACTTTCCCTGCGGGAACTGCGTATTCTCGCAAGCGATGTGTCTTCCCTGGCCCTGGCAACTCGCCTCCTCAATCTCGCACCAGTTCATCTGCGCCTGAATCGCCACGGTGCACGCGAGAATAGCGAAAGCCTTTCGCACGTCCAGCATCTTGATCGTCAGTCGGTGTCTAAAAGAAAGAAGCTCATGCCATTGACAAAACTGTACTCCAAGAGCCTTTGGGTGATATTATCCTTCAGGTCTAGAGACGGAATTGGTGCGTACGTAAATTTTTCACTCTTCAGAGCAGCGTAATTGGAAAATACGTGATTACATCTGGATAAGAAAGTGAGAGGAAATAGCTGAAGATAATCAATAATTTCACATTTATTTGCCGATAAAATCGATCATTCAATGGTAATAAATTTTCAATTCAAATTTAACCAGCACACAAATAGAAGGTTAAAACGTCAAGTTCTTAATTGAGAAACATCGTAAAATGCAAAATGTATGGAATTTACATCACAACTTATATTGTAATATGTTTTAAAATACTCTCACATTTCCATAAAGTATCGATTAGGTGAATTATAAAATATATAGATAAATTAATGCTCTTTACTGGAGTTTTCTTTTGTATTCAATTTACACATTTCAAATAACCAGTTCTAGGTGTGCTTAATCAAATCAAACTTGAGGAATGTCTTCCTGAAGCTATTTCAGTTGTTTGACGATGTTTATATTTCCATCCAGTGCCAATTAACTTAAATTAACAGCATTTCGCTCATAATTGGGAATACATTTTACTCAATTGTCATTTGTATTTATCCGTAGAATTCTCTTGTTACACTGTATCCTCTCTCGACCGCTTGTTTTGTAAATATATCACACGAACCTTTAGCACAGTTCTGAGAAATCCTCTGTAAATGCCACTTTGAAATCACACGGAAGACTTATTCACATGTAAACACTCGGGAGATGACTGACTGATCATCTTCTCAATCCGGATACTTTTATTGCCTCAGCGTGAGAAAATCAATCGCTATTGTTGCGTGAAAAATGTTTTGCTACTTGTAATTCATAGAATTGATGCGTTTTGTGAGAAAATTATTCAGACGCACAAAGTGTATAATATATATAAATTTTGTGATTCTCTTTACCTCAACTTTAAGAGCAGAACTTTACTCTAAGAGCAGATTTTCCACACAGACTGACTTTAGAGCGTAGAAGTTTGTTCAAAGTTATGCGGGCAACAATTTATCACTGAATGAAGAATACAATTGTTGCTACATGAATCAATTTTGAGGAATTGTAGTGGGCAGAGTGTGACAAATGTGTGATTAAATTCTTTGTACTGATTCACACTAAAGCCACAGAATTAGCGTCAAAATATATTGTCAATGGATGAATGTATAGTGTTGTAAATATGTTGAAGTGGGCGCGAAAATTACTGCATGCATTTTCGCGCCATCAAACTTCCCACTTCCGATAAATTCAACACACCTGAAGGACTCTCATTCACCATTTTTCCATTTATCGCTTTATTGGCGCTCTGTTTTCGAGAGCCGCATTAACTTTTATCGTGTCGATCCGATGAATCACGAATTTGTGCAATGTGCAAGAAGTCACGCAGATTTCAAACAGATTTCCAATATCAATTTCCCAATTAGGCGACTGACACGAAAGCACTTGCCACAACTATTCTATTGTTGCATGCACAATTCCCACGATAATCGGATAAGACTCAATTCGCGCGGTAATTGAATGATTTTCCTCCTGCGAGCAGCAAGATTTTCCTCCCTGTCTAATTGTTCATGTGAAGAAAACAGGGTGTTTGATATGGACTTATAGCAAAACGGGGAAAGTTTGTCCAGAACAATTGCAGTTATAGTCAGTTATGTGAACTTGGAAAAACACTTGAGAGCTTCCGCCCAGAGGATCTCTCCGTGCCGAGTGACGCTGTAAATTCTGAAGCTTTCTCCAGGGCCCAATTAATCCCGATTATTATATGGTATTCTAAATCGCAAATTGCCCACAGCTTTCTGCCGCACTTAGGCCAAAACTCCTTGATAATGGAGCCAACCACACATATATGAATTTTCGTGGCAGAGAGAAATTCATCTTCCATTTGAATGTGATTTTATGCGAAAACTTTCCCCACCTGCAACATCTAAGAAGACATAATTTAAGGGCCAAACTTTCTCCCTAAAGTTCACAAAACTCCCTCCTTCACCTCGTCAAGATGTGCGCGCTGAGGAAGGGTCACATCTCGAGGGTCGTCTGAGGAAATCATCCAAATTGCTCAAGTGAAGGAGATTGATATGAACATTTTCAAAGTTATAAGGGTTTGATCTTCCGCGCGACTCGCAATTTGCATGACCTACCGCAATGTCTGGGAAGAAGTGCTGCGGAGCCCACATAAATGCGAGCACACACACAATTCTCATTGTCGCCACCGGCGGCGAAGGGGCGCGGCGGAGGATGGGTCGCCGGAATGGGTTCTTGCACCTCTGGCGCGCCCCACCTCAAGGACTCCCTCGGGGACTCCTTGGCGCGCTGGCGGACGCCCGGCCGCCCACTTTCGCCCGATGTGGGACAGCTGAACTGGGACAAATCGGCAGCTGCCAAGGGGGAGTTATCGCCGTCTGAAATTATGTGTTCAAAGTATTTTCCTAAGTGTTTTCCTGACAATTGATCTGCAATTCTCTTCAATCGTCACTTCAACTTCTCCAAGTGTGGGAGTTTTCCAATCTATTTTGGGCACTTCCAAAGAGCCCGAAGTGCTTAAGACTGTCGAAACTGATAATGTGGCAAGACATGGAGTGCAGATAGTCAGGATTATCTCCCCCTTTGTAGCTGCATCAGAACGAGGTGTTGGGCGTACTAATTTCATGCTGCTCGAGTGCCTCGTCGACACACCAATAAAGTCAATGTCAGTGCGATCGCTGATAGAGCTGCGATAATGGAGAGAGTCAGGAGAGTCTGATATGCTAAGTAATCATGGTAATTTTGGGCAGAACAGCAGACAAGGGACTTCATAAAGCTTCAGTTTTGAATCTCTCAAGAATGTCTGGGGAAATTCTCATGATTTCCAAGTGATTCTGAAGGAGTTCTGAAAGCAAAATGCGTTGTTAATGTAAAATATGAGTTGCTATGCAAGCGTTGCAATTATTTCGAGTGCTTCCTTTTTTTCGTGTTCCTCTGTCAAATCCTTTTCAGCTCAGTGTTGGCAATCACAGATTGTGTGAATATGAATGATTCAGTTCCCACGAAAATCCAAAAATGCACAATCACCCATGAAAAGCACTCCAACACACATTTATCTAGAAATTCTGTGAATGAAAGTTCATAGAGCTGCAAAGTCGGGGAAAAAAATGCGGGAAATTGATAGGAAAATTCCCAGCAAAAAGTGACAGTGAATGTAAAAAGCGCTTCATTTCCAGATACTGAACTTGGCACTTGAAAAGTGCGCGATAGAGGCGTCCGTGAGGTGCACAATTGCAAAAAAGCCCATCAGCCAACGGCGGCTCAGACAGTCATTTTTCGGTTCTGGCCACTATCGCGCGTGGGAGGCGCTCTTGAGGGTTCCTCAGCCACTATTTAAGTCTGGCGTCCGCGTGAGTTGCGCCGCACTGTGACTCTGCCCGTGTGACTGACAATGCCTCACGTGCGTCTCCTGTTCGCGCTCACCGTGATCTTCCTGCCGCTGGCGAGGGCGCGTGACACGCACTCGCGCTGCCTCGGCGACACACGCGGCGGCCGCATTGTGGGCGGAAGTGACGCGGAGCGCAGCGAAGTGCCATTCATAGTGAGTCTCACGCGACGCGGCGCGCACTTTTGCGGCGCGACGATCCTCAGTGAAAAGTGGCTCGTGACGGCAGGACACTGTCTATGCAAGTAAGCAAAGAGGCGCAGCGAAAAGCCGATGCGCAGTTATTTTGGTCGTGTGGGCGTGTGAAAATTCACTATCAAAGGTCACACTTATCTCAGTGGATTGCTTTACGATCGCGATAGGAGTCATCAAGTTCAGAAGATTGGGAAATTGGGTCAGACGACTGACTTGAGGAAAGTGTCGTGTTTCAAAGAGATGTGCGTCAACAATTGCTGAGGAAATCTTCCAATTTTCACATTGTTTCACGTCTTATAATGCACTCAATTACCTTGCGGAAGACTTGTGCAATCTCAAGGAGTTCTCCACTTCTCCCCGTGAAAATGATCCTTTAATTTATATGCTGATTTGACTGAAATCCTTGCTCGATTCGATATTAATTTAGATATTCGGATAAGTTTGATTAATGAAGACAAATTTTTAGTTTCAATGAATACGAACATTTCTAATGTTCTAATTTCCTAATCCAATCATCAATTAAACTAAAAAAATCAATCTTTGAAAACTTGACTATTCAGATCAGTTTCATGGTTACAAAACAAAATCTTCACACAGAGATTCTTTCAAGTTAGCCAATTAGTAGATTAACATTTCGTCTCAAGACTTTATATAGTGTTTGATAAGAAACTTCTATTAAACTATCAAATCACTCAACTTTAAGAAAACACAGACTTTGTCACTCACATTAAACAAATAGCTTGAAGTGCAAATAAACATGCAAAAAAGCCAAGTTAAAAGCTCAATATCGCGGTTAATTCGCTATAAATTAATTACTATCTTTCTATTAATCTCTTCTCCTTCTCCATTCTTCAGCAGTCTCAACGAGTTCATGAAGCCATCGCAAATCCGCGCCGTTTTGGGTCTGTACAGAATCTCAGAGTACAAAAGCGCTGCCAAAGAACAGAAAGAAGTGCCTCTCTTGTCCATCATCATGCACCCAGAGTACAATTGCCTGCGAGCAGCCAACGACATTGCCCTGCTCAAAATTGCACCACTCGATTTCACGCACCGCATAAAGCCAGCCTGTATCGCCACTGAGGGCAGCTTTGCGGACAGCACGGCGACGGTTTCCGGCTGGGGATGGACGCACGAGAACCAGAGTGTCGGCCAGCGAGCGGACACTCTGCAGAAGGCCACCGTGGAGGTGTGGGCGAACGCCGAGTGCGAGGCGTCCTTCAGGGCACACGAGAAGAGCATCGAGATCTCGGACAAGCAATTGTGCGCCGGACGGAGGAATGGCGGCGTCGACGCTTGCTGGGTAAACGCACGCTAATGCGTCGCGAATTGTTGCTAATGCTCTCTGTGTGCTTCTTCGCAGGCTGACTCTGGCGGCCCTCTGATCTCCGCCGATGGGCTCCTCATTGGCATCATCTCCACTGGCATCGGCTGCGCTCGCCCTCAACTGCCCGGAATCTACACGCGAGTGACTGAATACGCCGACTGGATGCAACAGGTCATAGAAAACTCAGTCAAATGATGTTCAGCAGTGAAATTATCCCGAAAAGACTGACTTCTTTCTTACAATCTTTATTAATACTTTTTACTGAATCAATTCTATCGTCAATTCGAGAGCGTAAACAACTCGATCTTATTCTTTTTCACAATGATATAATTTTTTTTTAGGAAAAAATTTAGTTTATATATGCCTGATTTTTCATACACTTGAGCAATAGAAAAATATATATATTGCTCTCATCTCACCAAATATAGAATGATATCAAAAGTTACTTTTTTCCATACAATTTTTCAGTCATCAATTTCAAAACATAGTACTTATCATGTGTTTTTTTTCTCATCAACCTCTCTTCGCGAACGAAAGGCACAAAGTTGAGCTCCTTCCAGTGTTACAATCATGAAATGAATTACGAGCAAAGAAGTACTAAATAATGATAGTTTTAAAAATTGTGGCACATTTTTTCCATCCGCAGTTTTTTTTTCTCTTTCTTCATATCCACTAATGTAGTGTTAACATTTGGAGCTAAAGGTCAGTGAAGCGTGAATATCGTCAGAAAATTGTCGCCCGGAAAGGCATGAATTATATGAGAAACTCACAGAGTGAAAATGCGCAGATTTCCTCATCATTCATCCCAATCTCTGCGAGACACACACACACACTCGCCTTCCTGTGCAGCTCAGTAGTCAATATTCCCTTGGGCGCCAGTGATAATGGCATCAATCCAAATCCTCGCGGCGGCATCGGAAGCCGCCTGAAGGTGGTAACTCCGTTTCTTCGTCTTCACAATGAATGTGCAATGTGGACGACCGCTCTTCGACGTGTTCATGTGATCCAGATACACTTCATCGATCGTCTGCAAAGGAGCACAAAAGAACGGATAATCAGCGAAAACTTTCAACTGACAATTTATTCGTTTGAAGAAAGACACATTTCAGTCTTTAGACAATGTTGAAAACCAATTTTCACTCACTTCAGCGTGAATTCTCGGTCATTTTCTACATACCAAGATTATCTATGAATTTATGAGTGTGAAATCTTGACTGTCGTCGAAACAGCAAGAAGATGTGACGTTTAATTTACGTCTTTATGCAGAAATACGTTTATTTGAAAGTGATGCTTTTCGAGAACAAAATCCATGTTAGTCTTCATTTGCATTCTCTACGGAAATAACTTTTCTATACACAAGCTTTTAATCACGTCGAGACTTAAGTTACAAGACTCTCGAGCATCTAAGATTATGGATAAGTTTAAATAAAAGTGAGAAAATTAACTCTCTTTATTTATAAACTATCAAAGAATACTGAAACCTTCATAAGGTCCGAAATCTGTACAATCTAGCGTCTCTAGTAGAGTGATAAAATGAATTTTGTAACCCTTAAGTGAAGGACAACATTTTCAAAGAGCTTTTCAAAGAACACAAGCTATGTTAATTTCAAATTAGAGTTGAAATCAACTTACCGTAAAGTAAGATCCACCTCTTGGTTTCCTCTCGGACTTGTCCGAATAGTAGACGAACGCCTCCTTTTGTCGATCCAGCACGAACCACCGCCGCGACCAGCCGTGGAAAGTCGCGCCCAACTTGTGCAAATACCCGCGACAGCTCGTCGAATCCACGATAACGTGCGGACAGAGATTGATTTGGTGGCCCGCGGTCTCGATATGCTGTCGCAGGTCCAAGTCCTGCGACATGATCGGCAGGTATCTGCAGAGAGAGGGGGAAAGAGAGCGTGAGAGGCAATCATTCGGATGGACACTGTGCAATTCCTCACCTCGTGAGCGGTCGCTGATGTTTTGGCAGATTGCGCCTGCTGCCCGCCACCAGGCGCCCGTTGGAGCCGCCGGCATCGCTGGCGGCGCTCTGGGACACCACACTGTCCCTCTGGCAGCCATCCACCTCCGACCTGTCCGGGCGACTCGGCGCGCATATGTCACTGGTGGATTTGTACGCTTTGGTGGGTGTCAAATCGTAGCTCTTGTCCGAATTGACCTCGCTCAGCGGCCGAATTTGTTGCTCCGGCTGCTGCTGCCCATCGAAGTCGGGATTCGAGTGTCGCTGCTGCGAGAGACACGGAAAAATCGCCACGAAGCGTGATTACTCTTCCATCACACACACACACACCGTATCATTGTCAGAGCCAAAGTCAAAGTTCTCGAAATGCGAAAGTTAGAAAAATATATAATATCCGATTCTCCCCAACTTGGCCACCACTTTATACTCAATAACAAGGCAGACAGCGAACTTGTCCACCAACTCGGTGAGACATGAGCCAAAGACAGGACAGAAAATAATAATAATAATCTGTGAGAAATAAAAATTGCAGCATCTGCTGAAACTTGTCTGGCTTTTTTTTTCTCAACTCAACTCCCTTTCTCTCTCTCCGGATGTTTCATCTGTTCGCATCTCTTCTCATGAACTTTTCCACTCAACTCTGTCTCTTATTGTTACGTCTTCTCGCAAAGCTCAACTCTTTTGCTGGCGCACGAAACAGAAATATTATTAAGCCAGCGTAGAAATATAAAATATATTATATTTTAGCATGTTACTAACAAAAGTAAATTACGTGATCAGAAAACTTTTTTTTTTACACAAAATCTTCTCCCTTGCTGTCATGTTGCATTTTTGTTAGCAAAATGTCTTCTCGAGTATCTTTATTCCAATGTCATTTCAAACTTTTTCGCACTTTCCGTGTCGCTTTGAATGTCGAATGGAGAAAATTCTTAATAATATTGAATGCAAAGTGGAAAATAATAACTGTATATGCACAATATTTCGCACAGATGCAATGGAAATTGCAGATTCATTGAAAAACTTATAAAGGTGAATTCGCTAATAAACTCCAAACTTTTTACACAACTTCAACTTCTCAACATGCTTTTGCTCCTTATAAATTTACAAGCACTTCCTTACTACTCTTTCCATAACGATTTCAGAATAATTCTTTACAAGAATTTTATTCTTTTATAACTATCACGAATATCACATCAAAAGAAAATTTTTAAGTTCAATTTCAATGTTTATTCATGCCAGATACTGAGAAAAAAAATTTCCTTTGAAACGAATTTCTTACTTTTTCTTTACAACACCTTGAAAGACTCTCAATATGTTTATTTCTTATAATTATTTGATAAAGAATTTTTCTCATTTTCAAATAGATTTTCATGTCCTAAAAGAATCTTCTGTAAATCCTCCGAATTTGTCAAAATTTCACATAAATTCAGTGCAGAAAATGCACTTCTGAATTTTCCACAAGAATAAATTGCAAGTAATGTTATGCAAAATAGTAAAATGGAAAACATACAAATGGATTACGAAGTTGGATTTTAGCTGTAGATGATTTTCTCGTATTCACATACGTCATCCAGACTGACATCCTCTATTTCCGTCTTAATTCTTCTTCATACGACTTTCCTTTCTCACACACGTCTCACACTTCAACCGCCACAGAAACGGAAAGACACAATAAATCCTCAAACTGCCACTTCACAGCAGCATTTTCACTTGCAACAATCGCACACTTGCAAATCAGGTGAAAAACTGATTAAACGCGAAACTCTTCGACGCTCTTGTGCAATTAGCAATGCCGCGCGTGAAATACTGACGATGAGAGTTCACCTCAGAAAATTCTTCTGGGAAACATCGCAAGAATTCACTCTCGCTCTCGTTTCACGATGGACACTTTGAGAGAGAGCGTTCGGTTGGTGAAAATTGTCATCAGAGCGATTATCGCAATAAATACCGCGGCATCTCCTCAGCTCAATAGACCGTTCTTGCCTTGATTCTGCTCACAAACACACAGAGATTCGCGCACGGTGAATTTATATAAATAAAAACATCACGATTTATCTTATCGTCAGACGATGAGTGACAAATATCTCATGAAAGAAAAATAAACTCACATAAATAACTTAAAAATATAAACTTTTCAGAAAGGCAAAAAGCGATTGGACCAGAGTGCATTTTATTGCATGAAATATGCATGACTTTTTAAGAGTTGAAAGAGTAAATAAGAGAGAAGTTGAGCTCTTTCACCAAATTAACTGTGGCAAATTGTATTACCCAGAGTTTGTGTTTTATTTTAAATGTACTCAAGCTCTTCCGTCAATCAAAATAGAATTGAGTGCGCGCTAAAATAGCACTTTTCGCAATGTAAAAACCTAATTTTAGATGGCACACAAGTCACATAGATGCCCTCTTGTGAATATCATATAAAAATCATATTGAAATTATTTAGAACGAGACTCACAACAAGGGGGAGATAATGTGCCTAGAATTTATATGCAAATTGTGTACATCTACAATTTGATTAGAGCGATTAGCCAAGCTAAAAACGTTCTAAAGAATCATAGAATTAGATTAGAAAATTCTCAGTTAATTTATCAATTTGTAATCATTTTTTGGTTATTTTTAACCTATAAATTATGAGATCTTTGAGATCTTTAGGTATTTTTGAACCTTTTAAATACACAAATTACGAGTAACCATTAAATTTATGAATTTTCTGAAGCTTCTATGAAACTGTCATTTGTCACAAAAATATTTCTCCCTTGAATTGAAATGCAGAAATGTAATTGACTTGACAAACTTCCGAGTTAATAAATCTTTGCATCATTGTTATGTATAAGACAACATATTTCATGTTGCCTCACAATTTTCCAGTTGATTTTCCACCCCATTTCGCAGAGTGTGAGAAATCATAAAAGAGAAAACATTGCAGTTTATCCCTCAAAATAGCAAACATTTGAGAATATCACATATTGTGGCCACAAAAATAGAGCTGTGAATAAAAGGGAGGTCAAATTGCCACCACCTGTTTGATGCTTTGTGTACATTTCCAAAGCTCTCCCTCAATTTCATGGTGATGTTCTTCTCTCCCCCCATTCCATCACGCAATTTCCATATCACGATTCGCCCTCACATTTTCATTTCTCTCCCGCCCTTTTTCTGATCCAATTTTCTATTGTTCAATCAGAGAAAGTGATCCCATATTTCTCTCCAACTGCCATTTCTTCGTCCTATTTAGAGAGACGCATTTCTTTTTCCTCCACGCCATGAATTTCACATTTGAAATTTATAAATACAGCATTATCTTGTTTGAAGAATTCAATTAGGCAAATGCTGTTGGCGCACACAAAAAGCACACACACAATATTCACCCGCAGAGAGCTTTCATGCGCGCGTTTGAATCTCAACTGCAAGAACTGCAAGACAACCAGCGCCACACGCCCATCTCAAATTGACGATGGTTAAACAGAGCCAATTGAAAATCCCACCCAACTGAGATTAAAGGTATAATAGCAAGTCGATAAGAGCGCAAGCATGATTAGATTGATAAGAAGTTCAGGTGCAAAATTTACCTGATGACTAGACTTCTCCATTTTGGTATTTGAACTCAATGCGACATTCTCCGGACTCTCGCCAATCCTCACTCCTCCACCTTCAAGGATGACTTCCTTATCGTCGATGGCACTGAAAGATAGAGAAGTCATCCAATTAATCAACTCCACTCTCTCTCTCTCTATCTCTGAACACACAGTGCAACTGTCCATGGAAAATATGTCAAGAAGGTTAATAACCAGCATAAAAATTCTCTAATTCGATCAACACTCATAACTGCCGCTCTGCATTGAATCACCAAATAAATATTTTAGCCACAGAGACAATCTGCACTAGAGATCTAAGGAAGAAATGCCAGAAATTCCACTGTAACAGCACAAATATCAAATAACACTCCAATTTGTCAAAGAATATGCAAAAGCCCTACACAAATGCCAACATAATTGAAGAATATAGTGACACAAAAGTAGAGAAATTCCACACGATAAAATGGGCGGAGGACACAATATATTGTCACTCCTTCAAAATCACCCACACACAGAGTCAAAAGCACAACATTATAATATTTCTATAGCACAATTACGAGAATAATATTATATATCACAATGATGGATTAATGCAATTTTCCGCGCGTGAAAACGTCCGAAATGTCGGATCGTCAGTGAAAAACTGCCCGTTTACAGCGACACACACACACAATCATTCAAACCCATCCATATTCTCTCGAAAACCATACGATAAGAGCGGCAAAATTATGTCTCTTTCACATGAGAAAATGCGAGATAGTGCACAATATGGTCAATTGTGCTCACACTCGCGCTGTGTTACACACAATATTTCAATCACGGAAAAATCATTGGATCATTTCACTGCGGCGGCATGAAAAATAGATTATTGTCAATGCTCCACTGAACTTACAATTGCTTCGCTGCTTTGTACCAAACAACAAACATGAATTCATTTGCATTTTTTGAGTGTGTCAGTGGCAAAAGAAGTCTTTTTCGAATTCAAATGACAATAGAAATGCGCAAAAATGTGTGAAATTAAAATTATTAGAGAACTGAACTGACAAAATTACCATAAAAATATTTAACCAGTGAAATTATCTATAATAAATTAACCATAAATACAGTCAAAGCTAAGATTTGTGAATTTTTCTGGAGAAATTGAAGCGATTTCGAGATGCAAAATGAATTTTGCCTCTTCAAGTCAATTAGAATTTGACACAAGACACAAAAACTCATCCTAAACATTGCAATTTCATTTAAGAATTGCATTCAAACTCACCCTTCAATCGGCTCCGATTGGCTATTGATGTGGAGTCTCAAGTATTGAGCTCTCGCCTCGTCGTGACTCTTCTTCTTCAGTTCGAACATCTTCTGGCGCTCGTGCTCAATCACATGCGAGCCCTGCTGCGTGAGCAAAAGCTGTCGATTCCTCTCGATCTCCTTGATGCTCTCGCGCACCTTGTGACTGGCGCCCTCAGTGTCAATCGGCGCCTCCGTGGTCAGCCTGGTGATCCTGTCGATGTCGTCCTGCGAGGGGATTCGCCTCTCCAGTGGATTCACCTCGAAATCATCCGACTCCAGAGACAGATTGAGATTGATGGCGTCAGCCGCTGTCGCCTCGCCGGACAGATCGAACTTCAGCTTCAGCAGCGGATCCGTCTCGGAGTCGCTCTTGCGCTTGAACAGCGACGAGCGCGCCGAAGACTCCTCACTCGCGTCCTCCGCCTGATGCAGCAGATTGTGACTCGTGTCCGTGATGTTGATGTCCTCACTCACGTCAATCGTGCGGACGCTCTTCTTTGGTGTGCTGCTGGACGGCATCTCGAGATTGTCGAAGAACATGTTCTCATTCACACTCTTGCTCATCATGTCAATGTCATTGTTGCGCTTCGCGAGGATCTCTTCCGATCCATACAGCGACTGAGAGAGAATTCCAGCCTTGCTCTTCGTCTTCTGCGCCATGGCCAACAGATCCGCGTCATCATCCGACTCTGACTGTGCGGCCGCGGGCTCTTGGCCGCCAGACAACAGGAACAGCTTTTTATCAATCGCCTTCAGTGTCTCTCGACTCTTCTCCAAATCCGTGAGAAGTGTCAGGAGATTCTTCTCCAACACCTTCGTGTCCGAGCACGCAATCTGCTGATTCTCAATGCGCTGCAGCTCCAGCTTCATGATTTGATTACGCTTCGCCTCCACCGCCTTGTTGAGACCCTTGAGATCATTGTGCAACTCCTCTCTGTACGCCAGCCAATCTGTCTCCTCCTCGAGATACTGAAACTCCAGATCCTCAAACACCTTTCGATCATTCTCCAGTGACTCGAGCGCCTTGGCCAGCTCCTCGCGCAGCTCCTTGTCCTCCCCACTCTCCGCCATCAGCTTCTCCAAGCCCGCCACCTGATCCTGCAGCATCTCAATCTTCTGCCTCAGCTTCGCCTGCTGCGTCTCCTGCATCACGCGATTGGCATTCCTCTGCGCCTCCAGACGATGAATCTTGCCCTGCAGCGCCGTCAGTTCGGTCCGCATCTCATTGAGGGTGACAAACTCACTGGAGAGCTCAGCATTCACGAGTGCCTTCTCCATGTCCAGCTCCCGGAGGACCTCGTCCTCCTGGCGCTGCAGATCGGCAATCTGAGTCTTGAGCTCTCTCACGCGCATCAGCACATCATTCCGCTCACTCTTCACGCGCCCAATGAGTTTATCATCCCACTTCTGATTGCTCGCCGCAAACTTCAGGTCTTGACACTTGTTGGCCTCCGCCTTCTGGCGCTCCTCGAAGGACTGCAGCAGAATCTCATACTCCGTCCTCTTCTCGCACGACTCCACACGACTCTTCGGCGAAACCGTCGTGCGGATCTTCGTCCTGGGACTCTGCGGAATGTACGTGGGCTTCTTCACTGGCTCCTCAGGACTGATCTCTGCCCGCTTTGTGTTGGGATTGAGCACGACATTCTCATAGCCTGAATTCAGCTTCCTGCCGCGAGATTTGTCATCGGGCGGAAAGAAAATCTGCTGCTGCTGCCCTTCGCCAAACGGTGACTTCTTCTCTCGCGGCAGCGAACCATTCGTCTTGATGCGATTCTGCACAATTGGCGACGATTGCATCGACTGATTCTGTCGCTCGTACTCAGCACACAACTGCAAGATCTCCTCTAGGCGCTCCTGCTCCACCTTCGACATCTCCTGCTCCCGCAGGCGCTCCTTCTGTGCCCGCTGGTGCATCTCACTCGAGTCACTATTGATCTGCGCATTCACGCCATTCATCGGGAACACTTGCAGCCCAAAAGACTTGGGATAGCGATCGTATGTCGTCGGATTGGGCGTCACTTTCAGATTGTTGAACGTCGTCAGGATATTTCCAGACGCTCCACCTGCATTCTCATAAATGCTACTCGATGAAGGCGAATTGACGAGATTATTGAGACTGTTGTTGAGACTATTGTTGAGATTTTTCGTGAAATTCTTGTACTTCGGCCCCAGAACATCCTTCGCCGGTGTATTTACGGTAACTGAATCGGCTGTGAACACCTTTGGGCAGTGAAAGTTCTTGATATTGGCATATTCGATCTTGGTCAGCTTCTCAGCAATGTCCTCATCGTGAGATTCAGGCGCACTCTTAACATCTTTCTCCCTCCCTGAAGAGTCTGCAAGACACAATATATTAGACACAGAAAACATCATCAATCAATCTTTCACGTTCTCACCATCTTGCGAGTGACGGAAGTCAATCTGTGGCATGGAAATCCTCTCGTTGCTACCAATCGTCGATCTAATCAATTCCGCCTCGGCGGGATTGTTGAATCGTAAGTAGTTGGATTTGCCAATGGTGAGCATCGCTCCCTGTGTCAAATTCACCTCCTCGGACACACGATTGCCATCCACAAGCGTCCGTCCCTCGGGTTCAGGCACCAGCAGCACGTCGCCCTCCTCGTTGCGGTACAGCGTGCAGTGCACCGGCAGCACGCCCGAGCCATTGAGAATCACGCCGCACGACGGCGAGGAGCCAATGGTCAAGTCACCTTTATTACAACAGGAGATAAACAGACAGCCTAGTTAGTAAATCAGCTCTGAATTGCGCTCAAGAGCGATGATTCAACAAATCTCTGTCGGGATGCAATAGTGTCGCGTCTGTTTGCATTCTCATATTTATAAACTAGCTATAAATAGGAGAAACGTTTTAATGTTTCAATGAGGTTTTCTCTCTCTCTTGTGTGCGCCACGCAGGGCTTTGAATTTTCAACGTACATCGCTCTTCATAGCAATTGATTACGACGTAAATTACCAAGTGAATTACCAAGTAAATTATTCAAGGGATTCAAAAGCTACTAGGCACCAAATTATGTCTTTTTCTGCATCTCAGCTCTTGCTTATTAGCACCAAAACATATATTCAATTCCTAGAAGAACAATTTGATCACATTTTAAAAGTAAAAGTGAAATTCAGTCTGATGGACTTTCATAAAACTTCAGGAATTAAGAAAAGCATTTGATTTTCCTACTGTTCCTATTGAATTTAAGCTCTTCTCGACTTAAACTTGTCAAATCTCAGGCGCAACTCTCTCGCAATTCTCTCATATAAATATAGACACGTAAAAAATCATCATTCGTCAAGTCTTTTGCTCATTCTCCTCATGATATCATTGGCACTCAACACTTTTTCTCGTCTCGCATCTTTTCGGCGTCAGAATTTTGTCTGTGATGAAAAAGAAGTCCCGGAAAATGGTTTTTCCACTCATTTGTCTCAAACACAAACAGTGACACAATCACAATTCTCAGTACAAATCTCTCTTGCACTGTAAAATTTATCATCGTTTAACCTTTTCTTGCTTAGCGAGAGAGCGTCAAGGAAAAGAAAAAAGAGAATTCAATTAAAACATATGCAATTGTGCGCTCTTTATTTGCTTCTCCAGCAATTTACTTCTTATTTTGCAATTGTGGCAGAAATTAAAATCAATATTTATGTTGCTAATCTCAATTGCGATGATGATTTCACTGAATTGACACATTGCCAGACAATTGAGGCTACGTTTAAACTCACAGAGGTTAATCAGAGGAAACACATCTCAGTTCAGTGAATTGAAAGTAATCTCTCTCTCTCGCTCTCAAGAGATAGTCGCAATTTCAGGTGTTAATGCCGGATGATTAGGAAAAAATGCCTTCACTCAGTTTATTTCCGTCACAATCTTATGGCGTGTATTTTGGAATTTATCCAAAAAGTAAAACAACTTTTGTAAGAAATCCAGGGAAAAGGAAAAAAACCAAATGCTCAGAAGATTCCTTGATAATTCCCACATTTTCTCCCATAAGAAGGGCTTTGCGGGAGAAACTCATCATGCATTTCATTTGGAAGACAGAGAAAAAAAAACAACACTATTTACATACTTAACACACCTCATTCACTTCACTCTATAATCTCTCGCATCGTGTTAAACAAGAAAGTCTTCCCAAATGCAAACAAACGGAAAGATTTTTTATGACTTTCATGCACTTGTTTTCTTCGTTTTTTTCTTCAGAGAGATACAAATAAATTCAAATACCAGAAAAAAAAATCAAAATATGGGACAGATTTTAAGGTGTCAATTTTAATTTGTGAAATTCTCAACCAAAATCCCTTCCGTTCGGACGATGAAAAACCATCAGAGAAAAGCCAATAAAATATTGCTCTGGCTCAATTAATTTGAAAGTGAATCTGATTGTTCTGCGAAAGGCACAATTGAGTTGGATGTGAAGCTCAACGGTTTTTAATTGGATTTTGAGTAACAAAATGGAAAATTGCTGTTGCAATCAAACAACATAATCTACCTCTTGTTCGACATTGTTCATGGTCAGCTAATCGTGGCCACGAGAGGTTTATTTAAATGCACTTCGCCTCATCTTTTGTCGGCTGTTAATAAATGAAGAGACTCACCAATGGGTAAGTGATGAATTGTCACGGCCGTGCTGAGGCGTCCGCCGCCGAGGCTCACCAGATGCGGCTCTCCCGCCGCCACGCGAAGACCACTGCCAATCGCCTGCTGGTCGGATTTCTTTAGGGACATCTGCAAGACAGACGATCGTGGACTGTTTTCAGAGCAAATCTCGAGCTATTTTCGACACTTGATCAGCATGATCTTGAATTCACAGCAAGATCAGCGGGAATTCTTAAACACTTCTCACAAATTTAGGGTTCAACATTAAATATTTATTCAAGAGAAAAAAAACTCCCAAATTATCTCACATTTACCACATTATTACAGATCGAGAAATCGATTTTGAACTTATTACCAACTCATCCTGATAAATATTCTCTATAGACAGATATTCTAGATTGAAAAATGAATCAAATATGTGTGATAAATTAATAAGTGGTGATAAAATCATCAATTTTCCAAGAAAATACTCCAAATTCATAAACAAAGTCTGAGAAGTTCGCTTTTCTCATCGCCATGAACTCAGAATTTCACGCTTAAACTTTAAATACATGCTATTTTGAGAAGTTTCAAAAGCATTCATAGCGCTATAGATTAAAACCCACAGAATACTCATTAAATATCTACGCAAGTGAGAAAACCTTCTTGCCAAGAAACACCTCCACAATTATTTGCTGAATAACTTCATCACCTGCTTGAGCCACACAAATTTAGGGAACATCTCACCACCTCACTTCCAATATATACTCAAAAACCTGTTGAACTTTTTTCCTCACACTCGCATTCCTGAAGAAAAACCAACTAACAGAAGAGCGAGAACAAATTGTAATATATGTAATCAATGTGGAGCGTGACAGAAACAACTTTATCACACTGATAAGATTGGCATTCAGAGTTTTTCAAGTATTTTTTTTCCTCCACTTTGATAGCGAAACAATTTTTATAGTTTTTCCTTTCCCGGCGCAAGTCACTCTGGTGTGCGCCAAGAAGAACACAGAAAATACAACAGTAAAAGTGGAGAAAGAACTAGATTATGTTATTCATGAGGGAGAGAAGGTAATCTAATCTCTATAACCGAGTCAACTTCCAATTAGTTTGTTTAACGAAAAATGTTCCAATGTAACACAACATCCGGAACGCTTTTCTATGTCAGATTTTATATCGCAAACCCCGCCAATGAGTGAGTTTTAGTGATGCCAACAGCATTTTCCTCTTCTGTGCTCTGTTCTATAATTAAAAACGACTCGCACTGCAAGAGTTTTCGTGTCTGGAAAATATTTCTCGTGCGACGAGAAATTTTCCCCTCACATAAAAAAAAGGAAGACCAAAAGGAGAAGGAAAGTTTTCCCTTGCAGAGGTCATTATCATTTTTTTATTTTCAATTCCAACAAATGAGAATAAATCTCCTCCAAAACTATAGCAACCAAAATGAAAGTGAAAGCCTAACTAATCCTCAAATTTCTGTTTATTTTTCAACTGTCGGTAACTTCGAATACACACAGCTTCAATGAGCAAAAATATTGCATAACACCGAAGCATGTACACATGTGATGAACTATTAAATTCATCTTGCAGAGTGCCCATTATTCAACCGTAGGAAAACCTCTATGTAGGATGTTTTTTTCTGCTTCCAAATCACCCTCAAGAGTGGAAAGCATCGCCAATTGAGTTGTAATGATGAGACGATGCTCTTGTTTTCTGCCCCTCATTCTTCTTCTTCAAGTGTTAATTCACCAAAACACATGTTTTCACACTCCACCAATTGACGATATACATAAATAATGAAAGATAAACCACGATGAATTCCTTCACTTGACTCGCACACACCAATGAATGAAGGAAGATCAACAGTCAATACAAAAAATCTCGCGCTTAACCCTCTCAGGGACGACGGCTTCTTGGAATTCTATTGTCATGAGTCAGATGTGACGAGTATTTGAACATTTGTGAATAAAAAAAATCACTCCTTGTCGTCGTGAAAGGGTTAAAGACTCCAAACAAGAGCAAACTTCAATGGAGAGTTGGAGGAATTCATTCGCCCACTAAATAATTTTGAGATTAATCTTTCAAATAGGCCAAAAGTCATAAAACAATGTGTATGATGTCATTTCTTTACTCCCACTCCGCGCTAAAGAACGGCACATTTCGGCTCAATAAACATAACATACAAATATATGCATAATTCTATATCATCCAGGCTTCCTTTCAGACTCTTTCAGACCATCTGAGCGACTTCTTATTTGCAGAATGACGAATTCACATGCGAAAAATCCACTCTTCACACTCCCACTTTTCCATTACACACATTTACAAATTGATATAAAGACATACCACAAAATCATCACTGGGTGAAGCGGCGGAATTACGGTCTAAACACGCTTAATTAAAAATTGATACCTTTATTGTGATGTATTGGGACATTCCCCATGATGAATGTTCACGATATTTGAGGCACATGTAATTTCATGCCTAAAGTGATAAATTCAATATGCAACTGATAAGGAATTCAAGCAATGCGGGTCGATTTATAACCGCCACAGAGGAAATTCTTAAGCATACAAGAAAGAAAGGGGTTTCAAATTCACATAATGTCCCTTTATTCTGGCTCTCAAACTGCATTTCTCAATGAATTGTGTGGCATTTCAGAGAGAAAGAGAATAAAGTTGTGGATATAAATTTACTTAACGACGAAGAGAGGAAGCAATTCTTTCAGGGCGTAAAGATCTTAAGACTTCTTCATTACAAACTTAAACACTCGTAATTTAGAGACATCATTTTCGCCACATTTGCGCGCATAATTCCAAGAAAAAAGCATCTGCAAATCGTGGGAAGATGAAAGAAAATCTCTGTTTTATTATGAATGACTTTCTAAGCTATTCTTGCTATTCTCTCTCTCTGTCATGGAATTCTAAACGAAAATTACACCCCGATGTGAAGGAAGTCAAGAAAGACCACCAAGCAATGCGTCACTTCGTCACACTCTGTCATGCATAAATTAAACAATTCAGTCCCTCTTTATTTGTCCCTCCGATTAACAATTAAAAACCAGAGGCGAATTCAATAAATCATAGGCAAAGTTTAGTGTTTTCAGGCCGACAAAATCATGGAATTTTCTTCAATTTGCAGTTGAAAAGTTCTTTGACACTTCAACTGACCAATTAAGCGCGTAAATGACAGCCACAACACTCATATGAATGCACAATAATTTGTAGCACAGCCAATTAAGTGAGTGACAATTTCCACTCAGACACGCAACCTTATGCAGCAGTTTAGTCACGAATAAAGAGCCATCTGGAAGTGTTATCAATGGAATTTCCCACCAAGAGACCACCAAAACGCCGATGGACGTGCAGCAGCTACCAAAAATACTCGGCAAAATGCTTCGCGCATTCATTGAATTGATTATTAAATTAAACGTTTTTATCAGACTTTCCACGCGACTGCGAATCTCGCTGAACTTTTCATCTTCCGGATCACCTTGACGAAGCTGTTCAGCTCCACTGGACACCAAATGGAAGCACGTCCCAAGATTCACTGGCATATCAATCAAAGAAATTCCACAGTTGAGCAACAATCGACACTCCTCTTCAAGCACTTACTTTTTTCGAGAGAATCATTAAAAATTCTAGCGGGATTCTTTTCACTTTTGTGCGTGGATGAAATGAAGTGAAACAGACACATTCTTCTGCGATTAGATTTCATGGACTTAAGCTTTCTTCACCCTATTCGACGTGAATCATCAGAGAAATAAAATTCAACTCTCAACACACAGTAGAATGAGAATGGGAACAGTGGGAAAATATTTGTTTACGCTTGTATTTACTCATGAATGAAAAGGGACTTGTAAGAGAGAATGAGAAAAGACCACAAAATCGACAACATTGGAGATCAAATGAACCGCTTCCGACTGAAAACCCTGAAATCTCTGCATTCTAACTGTGAAATTAGATTAGAAATGTGAGCTTAGCCACCAAATTAAAAGCTCCAATTGTTGTCAGTAATTATAAATTTACTGACTCTTTGACTAAAGCTATCACGCAATAGAATGAGAATAGAAAATAGATTCTTCAGACATTAGAAAATATCAATCAGAGCAACGATATGAGGAAAAAGTGATTGTAATAAAGAATGTCCGTTAATATTCGTCCGATATGTCGTGAGACATTTCTTCTAAAGTGTCTTAAGCCTTGTCAAACTTGAAAAATCATTGATATACTTGTTCATTTACAATATCTGACAGTCTTATGAGATTATCATGGATGCTCATTAGACATCTGAATGGAATTATTATTGATATTATTCAGTTCCAAACACTCAAAGTGAAAGAAACCAAATAATTCTGAGGTTCCGCGAAAGAAAGTTTCAATTCACGAGCACTATGTAGAGCACTTCATACACTTATGGGCATCTGAAATCGCGTCTTGAGCCGAAAAAAGCCACGATAAGTGGCTCGTTTCTACTCCGCTCGCCGCCAGTGTTTGGCGTGAGATTAGAAAGAGGTGAAGAGGAGATGGAGGTCGAGAAGAGGCGGCGAAGAGATTCCAGAGAAGGTCAATCGCCGGGGTTGAGAAGGTCGCCGGGAGATGCGATCCAGACACGTTGAAAGCACCCAAATTAGCATAAACTCGTACACTTCTCGCGCTCTTACATAAGTCACCATCATCCATTGAGATAAGGTGGAAATATTCCAGCCAATTTCCCACCGGTGCGAACTGTTTCTCAAGCGCGAGACGCCTTGGAAGTCTTTTATGATGAGCACGCGATTCCCCGGCTTCGAGGGGCTCCGCGTGTGAACCTCTTGGAGTCTCTTTTGAACAATGGGTGAGCATTTAGTAATGCTAATTGCCACCAAAATGGCCATTTAATGATACAGCCGCGCGTCACTATCACTTTTGGCGCCCAGAAAACCCATCTAAGCACCGCACAAGACAATCCTCCCAACACTCACCTTTCTGTGGGCCAAATTCAGCCGCTGGGCATCCGAAAGGTGTGATTAATTGCGGATGAAAGTCTCGGAGTGACTCGATGCATTCATCTGTTGACACTGGGGCGCTTGTTTTGCCCTCAAACACAACCTTTTGGCACAATGTACACCGCAGAAGCACTCGCAGGAACTGCCAAGGAGTCTCGTGGGCACAGTTGAAGTGGAAAAATGAGGAAAAGTGTAAGGAAAATCAGGAGAAACTCAAAAACAACTGAAAACACATGCACTCACGAACAAACACCCAATGAAAATGCCAATACGCTACTGTGTTTTTGACAAGCTCTCCCCTCTTTTATCGTACGATCGAGTCATTCAACGCCAGTCGATGAGATGGCCGACATTCTCGCGGCAGATGGCGCTCGTGTGCGATTTGCATGCCATAAAACCACCAATTTCAGGTCGATGAATGTGTCTTTGCTATGTGAAAATGTTGGCTAAATTACACTCGGCGAAATTCTAATATAAGAATCAATTAGAAAATTTCTCATTTAACTCTCGTTTGAAGCAAAGTATTTTACAGCTATTGACACGCATTTTACAGATTTTTTAAATGTTTTCCGAGCATTTTCGCAACATTGTGCATAATATGAAATGCCATAAGAATGGATATAAAGATCATTTTGCAGATAAAAGCAGCTCTAAGTGAGGAAGAGAAATATATTATCTATGGTGTAAACGGTGTAAAAAGACAAAGGACTTTTAAAAATATCACGTTCAACATCTTTTCGTGGAAAAACGCTTAATTTGCGTTGTAAAATTTATGTAATTTGACAACTTCTTAACTTCTGTGATAAATAACACTGCTTAGGAGAGTTTTTTTTTGAAAATAATTTCAAGTTCCCTCTGTACAGAATTTATACAATATTCTCAAATTAAAATCAAATAAAAATTAGTCGATAGCACAAGAAGACCAACAAGAAAATTGGCCTAAATTGACTGAAGCGCGAATGTTTCCACGCAAAGAACACTCTGCATACTTTCAATTGGTGTGGAAAAGTTGCAATTTCGAGGAATTTCTCAAGTGCTTGCACTCGAAAGAAGCCAACTTTACACTTTTGCAATTTCTCACTGTGCATCAAAAGCACCAAAAGAAGTTTCTTTTTGCGTCTCTTGTGAAAAACATATATTGCACACACCACTTCTGGTCTCACTCGATTATGAATGTGATTATTTTGCCATATCCGCCAACATAATTCCAGCCACCAAAAATATCAATCGATCGTCGTCATGCGAGGCAAATTATTTATTTATTGCCGCAAGATTTTATCGCGAGTCCCTTTTTATGCTCAATGCCTGAAAATTGATGGTTGGAATTTTTGTCCAGGTGATTGTCCTCTTCAACACACCACAATTGAGCCATTTTGCCGACTCTTGAGCGCCACATTTGCAGGTAATTCATAATTCTCTCGCACCGCGCATTCAATTCCGACGTCGCTCGAGTGGATTAGACTTTGAGGAAAAAGGGTGTCTCGTAAAAGTTCCTCCCAAAGCGTCGAGTCGTAAAAGGCGCCCTTTTTATGATGTATTAATCCTGAAAGCGCTTCAATTTGGCTCATCTTCGGTTGTCACAGTGCGTGGAACCAATTGAACCACTCCAATTTGCAAAAGCTCCGAGACATTTCACCAAAGTAGAGCTTTTGGGCTTCAAATTTAATATATTTTAATTCATTTTCTTGGAACACATCCTATTGCCAATTATTTGTGCGAAATGAACTGCAAAACCTTCATGACCTTTATTATGTTAAAGCCAAACTGTAATTACAATAATTCAAACAATTCTGTGGCTCATCATTTGTAGGATAAATGTAAATATGTACCTCTCTCGATATATTCTTTACGTAAATGAAATTTGGTTCTCCATTTTGCCCACGAATACAATATTGTGACCGAATTGTCAATAATTAGCTTACATTTGTGTTGACCTCTCATTTGCACAGTTCACCTAAAGCATACATTAATTATTTACATTATATTTCCACCTCAAAAATATTCCATATCCCCAAACTATATACAAAACATGTCGTATGTGTAACATGTTGATCCAACAAATTAGATTGGCAATTGCATTTCATGGTGATACAATAATGGGTTGAAAAAAATGGAAGCATTGCAGGCGAAATTGCATTATGAGAATTGAGAGAAAAGCTACAATTTTGGCTCGTTGACACACTTTCAATCATTCACTCTCTGCTCAATGTTTAACGTTGACGTGACAGTCTGAAAATGCAATTTGAGGACATTGATTTTGAATGCGTTGCACAATTATTTTGGCACAGTTGAAAATGCTTCTGACGCTCTAATTTTGAAGAATCTTCAGCAAAATCCCGCCAAAAAGTTGAGTACAAACTCCTTTGCACTCCACCCATAAGTATCTCTTTAGCAATTGAGTCACGCACTTCCATTTGACATTGTGCTTAATTACACATTCCCGCTGGCAAAAGCTCACAAAAAGCTCGGTCGCAGCTTTGCGCCGCAAAACGCCAAATACTCGCACGGTGTGCTGCGAATTTTCTGCACACAATAAAAGAGCATCGAGTGGTGAATTGTTGAAATTTAATTTATGGCACGTGAGCCAAATACACACACACGCTGATGAACTTTTTCCTCACGCCGCATTGCCAAAAAGTCCTTGATGTTTGCATTCAATTAGCTGGTAAGCACAGGTGCCAAAAACGTGATTAAGCCGCGGACGCCCTGTGACAAAAAGCGGCGACGTGGTGGATAAAAAATTTTCTCATTTGCGGAAACTCCAACTTGACGAGCTTCTTTTGCCTTGTTTTCACTCGAGAACATAAAAAAGTTTTAGTGCCGAGATGCGGGATTAAATTGAATGAGACGTGCTTCAGCTAGAGTCTCGCGAGACTGTGCGAAACTCTGATAGGTCTAGAAAAATCCTCGCCGCACCGTATAAATGACTTTAAAATTCCCCTACTAAAGTCTTGCACCTAAAAATCCATCCCTAATTGCTACATTCTTCTGCTTAAATTGCATTATCAATGGATCTTTTGCAAAAATATCGCATTTCAAGTTGAAATCTGAAACCCAAGCGAGGGGAGAAAGAATCTGAAATCACATCTTTATATCTGCGCAATAAAGTTATTAAATAAATTTACTCAATTATGTATAAAAGCATGAGGAGAATGAAGAACAAATTACAAAATTATTTATCCAAATGAGCTTCCAGACATTCACGACAAAATGTAAAAATGCAATGCAATGAAACTTCGAAGGAGGCACAAAAAGATTGTCACAAACTTATCCCGCACACCTTCTGTTGACATTTCTCCTGGTGTTTGTGTAATTTAATTTATTTATAATACAAAACGCCGCACCCGGAAGTATTCATCTTGGCGCTCTCTCAGGAACTCAATTTCGAAGAATAATATGCCTCGACTGTGGTTTTCATATTAAAACCACCTACATTCGCGTATTAATTTCACTTCTTGTGTAAAATTCAAACTACAAATTGCGCTGTCGAGTGCGAAAGACAAAAGGGATGAATAAACTGCGTGAATGGAGATTATTTATGGCACATTGCAGTGAAAGAAATATTTCACAGCGTTGCGGAAGATTCATGGAATGCTTTCAGAGGCATTTCAATCAATTTCCTGGAAATTTTTGCGGATATTGTTCATATAATTAAATTTTCAATTACAGTCAAAGAAGATTAATACGCATTGTATAAACATAATGTGTATACATAACATACTGAAATCGCAGGTGTGATGATAAAAATGCCACAGCCTAACAGATTGAAATTAATAATGAATTTTAATTATGCCAGTAAATCCGCTTTGACACTGCCTAACGAAAATCCCGCGTTGATTTCGGACATTCGGGGAGACAAGGATATTAAGCGAGAAATCCACTAATTAGCTCAATTACTGGCCAGTTGGAGCTGTGGGATTTTGTCTTCTCCGTACAGATTATCTCTCACTGGCCAGATGCCATTGAAATTCAGTGAAAATTTTAGTAATGTTCAACAACTTCCAGCGTAAAGCAATTGAAAACCATTATTGATTTGAGAGAGTTATAGAAAATTTATGCTTGATGACGTGTAGAATTTAATGCGAGAAGCACGAAATTTGTTCGCATTTCAACTGCAGATGCCAAGGGGAAGATATTATGCTTAAAAAATTCTCCAGTTCTTTCAAAAATTAACCGATTTTGAGACTATTGTCAACAAGTAAATACTGCCTAGCTTTACTCTTTGCTCGATTTTGAACAAAGAATGATTTTTTTCACAAATATTCGTCGTTTTCGGTCTTCTTGGATGAAATGCTCTTCTTTAAATGAGAGCAATAAATTGGAAATAAAATGCAATTATATGTAGTTACAGAAGCTTTAGGAGGGCTAAGAAAATGGAAAGTTAGATCTTTAACTTATTATCCATATTATCTCCCCCTTGGCAGATGGTAAACCAACCTTTTGTCCTTTCACATTGTTTATCAGACAGATTTGAAGTGGATGCAAGCTGAAAGTCAGTGGATCTTGAAGACAGTTCTTGACAAGAATTCTATTTATTCAATTGTTCAATATTGTGACAATAGCTGTGTTAATGTAAATTTATCCATCTTTTCTCTGGTGAACAATGTAATTTATTCAATTATTTGCAAAATAATTTGCTCGATAGACCACACAAAAGTTTCACAATAATATTTATTGGCTTCCGTTATTGGAGAAATCAAATCAATCAAATGGAAATGATTTGCGAACTCGCATGTCCCTTTGGCCCACTGTAAATACTATATTCATACCTTTCCTGGAAGCGCTCAAATATTGTTATATACCGGTGAATTTTCATGTTGATTTTATGGAACAAGAGAAAACACGAGCTTTTTCCCTATATTTCAGAGCGGACTGCGCGCAAAGTGGAGCCCAATTTTGAGTGGGAGAGTGAAATCACACGAAACGCTAAGAGAAAAGAATATTAATTTCCGCTTTTTTTAACCTTCTCACTTCATTGGAATTTTTGACCCATTTCGCGGCTCCCCAGCACTCATTTCCGCGCCCACCCAGTAATGGATTTTTAATTTTCACATTTGTATCCTGTCGTGTTATTTGCATAAGGTTGTGCTTTCTCGTTGTTTTTGTTCCTGGAAACATACACTCTTTCTTTTCCTGCTGGCTCTGTTAATAATGATAAGCATTTTTTACTCGCTTTGCTCAAGAGGAAAGAACTTAAAAAAAATCCTGACAAAAATTACCTCTCTTCTTGGTATAGTTAATGAATGAATTATCTTATATCTCCTTTAAATTC